AAAAACCATGTTTGTCACTTGAAAACTATGGAATCTTATTAACTAATGTCTCCCCAATAAATTCAATAACATTTTTTAAAAACACACTTGTAAGTTTGTTACTCGGAACTCTGAATGTTCTAAATAATGAGTAGGCCTCCATGTTAGCTCCAACCAATGCCATCTGTCATACACCTGAAATAGTCACATGAACAATTTTTTAAAGACACAGAAAGTAATACCAGGAATCAAACCGTGACCTTCTGGTTCATAGGTCAATGCTCAACCACTGAGCCATGCCAGCCAGGCTACAATTAATATTTTTGAAATACATCTTTGAGTACCTGTATAATAATTTCCTTAAAATTAAGTTGTATCAACAGATATGCATATTTTAAAGGTTTTTGATAAATGTATTGCCAAATTTCCTTCCAGAAAAGCTAAAATTTTAAACTTCTACCAACCACATATGAGTGTCTAATTTCCCCATATACTAAACATTGAGTATTACCAAGAAACTGTTTTTTTTTTTTTTTTTTTAGAATCAAATACACTTCAAATTTTATGGGAAAACAAAAATAAACTGAATTATTTTTTTAAAAAACACGATAGTAGACTATATGCAATCTTAGGAACTCTTCATAGGATAATCAATCATTTTTCTAACCTGCATCTGCTGGAATTCCCAAGAAAACAACAGTCTCCTAAGGTATTTTCATTTTTATCTTTACAAATAAATGTTCTCTTATTTAGGGGTAAACACCCAGAAGAGGTGTTGCTGGATCATATGGTAGTCCTGATCTTAATTTTCTGAGAACCTCTATAATGTTGGAAAAACAAGTTTTGAGTAGATAACTAGGGTATCTGCCACAGATGGAATGGGAAAATTTAAGAGTAACATATAAAGATAAGGCACAATGAGAGAGGAGCAGGTTTGGAGAGGAAAATGCTTGGTTTGGATATATCAATTTGTAGATACCATTGGGCAATCCAGGTGGAAATGTCACAAAAAGGAATTGGACAGGAATGATACATTTATTTTGGTTTAGTAACACTTTATAATGTGCTCCAATATTGCTGATTGAAATATAATTATCATAAAGCTAAGCATTAAAATATTCAGTTTTTGCCAACAAAAAGGCTTGCCCCAATTTTCAATATAAATTAGTTATTTTTTTAAAAAGGTCAGTCAGCCTATGCCCATAATTCTCTTCCAAATCTGAAGTTCCCACCTGTTGCTACTGTCTTGAACATAAGATGTTAATAATTCATCATTTCTGCTGAGTCTTTCTTTACCTAATGGCAGCTATCACCTATTTAGCCATAACTAAGGCTCTGTGTTATCATGGGAAATGCATATTTCGCTCCAGAGACCATTGGCTTTGCCATTTACGAATAGAATGACTTTGGGCAAGACACTTCACTTCTCAGAGCTCTTGTTTTCTTATTTGGGAAGCAGGACTAAGGTACTATTTCCCTTACAAGATCATACTTAGGGTCAAAATAATGTTTGCAAAGTGATTGAGCCAATATATATATATATAAATAAATAAATATACCGAATATGCAAAGTGTTCCCTCAGGAGTTTGACTGACCAGGAGTTTGATCACTCGCTATGACGTGGGCTGACCACCAGGATGCAGCACGGAACAAAGGGAGGTCCCAGCAGGCAGCTGGCAGCTGCTAGGGACCCTACCTGTGCACGAATTTCGTGCACTGGGCCTCTAGTATACTATAAAATGTTATACAAAAGAAAGGTATATTCCTTTCATAACAATATATAGAGTAGGGGTAATTGAGCACTGTAGATGGCAGTTGAATTTCAATAAGATTTGAACTACTAGCTAATTAATTAAATTCTGCCAGGTGAATTTCTGCTAAGTCAGGGATATTTCTTGAGTCTTGAATATATTAGCATATTCACCAACCTCAGAAAGTTGTTTTCATCCCTGAAATTTTTTTTAAAATATATTTTATTGACTTTTTACAGAGAGGAAGGGAGAAGGATAGAGAGTTAGAAACATCGATGAGAGAGAAACATCTATCTGCTGCCTCCTGCACACTCCCTACTGGGGATGTGCCCGCAACCAAGGTACATGCCCTTGACCAGAATCGAACCTGGGACCCTTCAGTCCGCAGGCTGATCATCTATCCACTGAGCCAAACCGGTTAGGGCTCATCCCTGAAATTTTGAGGACCTCGAGTTTCCAGATGCCTGGAAGACTTCCCTGTATTTCACTAGGGTGGGAAACAATCTCAGGGCCAACTCATACAGGAAAACGACACTTGAGAATTTACTCCGTAGGACGATTTGGAGAGTTCTGGAACTCAATTCCTGGCCGACCACTGAGACCTCTTCTAAAATCCCACAGTAAAGATCGGAAGCTTCACATGGTTTTCACTGTCGATTGCCTAAAGCTATAAATAGGTCTAAAGCTCATCTCTCTCCTTTTAGCTGAGAAGGGTCAGATTACAGGAGCAAAGCAAAAAAAATAAAATAAAAGTCAGGGCCCTTTTTACTGTAGGGCAGTCCTCCCCACGTTCTCCTCTCTCTTCCTTGCTACTGTGCTATCCTAGAATCAAGGATCCCAGCAACAATGCCTCTGTTGAAACTTACAGGTAGGTGTGCAACAGTGTTTGGAGAGCACAGTTCTTTTAACAGGCAACCATTCCTTTAACTATCACATCAGCTCTGGTGATCCTTTATTTAGGATTTATAGTAGCCTTAATAATACATTTCAGGAAGAGGCAAGACAAGGGTTTTCAAGTTTGGGATTTTTTCCCCCCCTTATTTTGGGAGGGAGGTAACTTTCTAAAACTATCATGTGGTAGCAACTTTGACAATCCCGGTAGGAAACTGTGTAAGGTATTTAATATCTACTCTGCTACTAGGCAAAGCCTGTGCTGCCACGCTTCTGAGAAGGGTCTGTACAATGTCTCCAGCTACAGGATTAGCTGGAAATCAGGACCATAATGGAAATATTAACCCAATCTCTGTATTCTGATGGTTCAACCCAGGTTTGTACACAGAGTAATTTTTAAAATAAGTTCTGTCTTCTTCATTAAAAAGGTAATATATGTTTCACATGAAATAAAAAGAGAGGAATTCTACCAAAAAAGTAAAAGTAATAAACACTCAGTTAGAGAAATTGGGAAGTTTGGGAAAGTAGTAATAAGAAAAAAACAACCACCACAGTCCCATCATCCAAAGATATCACTTTTAACACATTAGTGTTTTTCTTTTCAATCTATTTTCTTTGTAAATGTAAAGATTAAAAACACACACACAACTGTGATTATATTGCATGTCATTTTATATGGGGCCTATTTTCTTTTTTGCTTAACATTGTAATTTAATCATTTGCCATAGTCCTCCAAACCCTTTCTAAACATCATTTTAAAAAATTGATTTTACACACACACACGATTTATAGTTCACTGGTTCTTTGTAAGTGCCCTGACTGGGGATCAAACCTGAAACCTTGGTGTATCAGGACGACACTTCAACCAACTGAGCTACCTGGCCAGGACCTAAATATAATTTTAAGTAGCTGTATAATTCCAAGCTGAATAATCCCTTAGGTTCTTTACAGTTTTTTTTAAGTATGAATATGCTCTGAGAATGATATTTGCACTAAATATTTTTTCGTGTTTAAGAATGATTTTAGTAGGATAGACTCTCAGGAAATGGCTGGTAGGTGTTACTCAATTGTTTACCAAATGAGCTGTTTCAGTTTACCTGCTACCAGCATCATGTAAGAGTTTCCATTCCTTTTGATCAGGTTTTCTTCAAAATGACATTTTTATAAAGAGTACCTCTTTATGATTATAAACAAAAATTTAAAGAGATGTTAGAAAATAAAATAAAATGAAGAGTTGTATAAGGACTATATTTCCAGGTTTTTCTTTATGGCAGCAAATTGTAGGTCAATGGAAGAGTGAGCTGTAACAACACATTCCATCACACCCCTTTTTGTACCAATCTACATATTTCTATTCCAAAGCACTAATGAATAGGCACTATGATTTCTGAAAGTTGTTCATATATATTGTCTTGTTTTATTTTACTTCATACAGCTGAAGAAAAACGTGAGTATATGGGACTATTTTCCCCGGCATTTGCCAAAGTATCAATTTTTAAAAGATACTATCCCAGAAACATGGTTGTTTTTCAGCAGTGTTTATTAAATGACACCACTGAGAGCCAGCAAAACTAGCTCTAATGACCAGAGATAGCCCATAGCATAGCAAATGAGCTCACGGGTTTTCTAGACACCCCACCCCCACCCCCCGCAAAATTCCTCTTTTTAGAAAAGTGAATCTCAGGGGACATTCATTTAAAAATTTGAAATAAAATCATTTTCTCCTTTAGAGATAGATTAGTCAAGGGGATCTATTGAGTCTTGCTTTCGTAAACACTCAACCCCAAAGCAAAATATAATATGGTGAATTTTTGTGACCTGGTAAAATAAAAGCCCGTTTTAGATAAAACTGTAGCTTTACATGTATGTTCCCCTCCAGCTCAAATGAGACTTGTCCTTTAGCTGACTGTTGGTAGGTCTGCCTCTGAGTTCCTCTGTGAGATGAGATGTGGGCGATGAAGGGCCTACAAGCTGTCCTTCCTCCCCATTGACAGAGCACTGCTGAGAAATAAGCATGCTTTTCTGGATCTGCTGGGTGAAGAGCAAGCATGGTATTCCTTTTCTCGAGTCTTGCACTTCCTATGTTAATAATGATAATCCCCAACTTCTGACCAGGACTGTGTAGTTTTAAAATTATTCCTTTTTTAAAAATCTTTTCTTCAGTTACAGTTTACATTCAATATTATTCTGTTCTTGTTTAATCTTTATGACAATTCTCTGAAGTTGACATTATTATTATTAATGCTTGCCTTTTATGATGATGAACACTGAGACACCACGGATTGTATGGTTTGCCCCAGGCCACCCATGGTCACAGACACTTTTTCTCACACCTTAGGCCACTGTTCTTTCTGCTTCGCCCTTTACTCCTTGTTTCTGTTCTCTTGTCTGTTCTCTCTCTGAACACAGATGTCCTAACCTCAAGGCAGTTCGACTCAGACGCTCCATCCCCTCCCACACGACATGCTCAGAAAAGAGCTCAGCGGTGATCTGTACAAATCCATGGGCATATCTGTCCTTTAGAACATGATGCCAGGTTGTCACCAAATCTTATCTGCTCCTCTTCTGAAACACCAGCCTCACGCTTTCCTTTCCGTAACCACCACTCCCTGAAGTATTTTTGAAAGGCAGAGCTCTTGAATTACGAATCAAATTGCAGCTGTCGTTACATGAAATCAAAACAACTGGTTGATTCAGTGGAAGGAAATACCAACCATATAATTTTTGTAAATGACTTTTTTTAGTTGATTCCATTTTGTTGATTTTATGAAATAACTTAACCATTCATATTTCACTTAGATACTAAAGTTTTGCTGTTGGTTTTAAAAAATTTCATCTTTATTGTTGAAAAGTATTACAGATGCCTCCTTCTTTCCCCCTGTTGACCTGTATTGTCTGTGTCCAGGGTTTACACATAAACTGTAGAATTTCTGCTTTTCAACTGTCTCTAGTGGCTTAGGAAGATACAACCTTAGTAAAAACAATCATATTTTAAAATATGGAACAGATAGATGTGTGCAGTCCCAGAGAATGAATGCTTATCTGGAAGAACCTCAAGCACCTGGGATTTGGCTCCGGGCATCCATTTCATCCCGTCCTTGCTGAGGCCTCCAGCAGCATTGCCACAGACCCAGCACCCTCATCCTCATCCTCTTCTTCATCATCATAACCCACTGGCCTGCTACCATTGGCCCTTCGTGCTGCATGGAGCTTCTTCTAACGGCTGCTTGCCATTCACCCGAGGTGCATGTGCTTGTTGGTGACACTCAGGGAGAAATGATACACCTTCTAGGGATCAGTGGGCAGTGGCGGGGGTGGGGGAGGCATTCTCAAACCATCCAATGTACCTATTTAATGTTTTATTGGTCCCTTCGTGGATTGTGGTGCTTGCCAAAGAACTACTCCGAGCACTTTAAGATGCTTTTCAGTTTCAGAAAGTGCTGGAGTCTAATGGAGCAAATGGATGCGTGAAGTTCAGCCAACAGAGTGGGCTTCTCTGTGACCCAGCTGCAACAGGCCGGGTTTGAACAGCGGCTGACTGTTCGTGTTGAAGTTATGAATCAATGACTGTCATTTCTAATGTGTGCTTCAGCCTGTACTAAGTCATGTCATTCATCATTCCCTTAATAGCCCAAAGCTAACCCAGAATGCCAAATATCTGTCTGACCAAGGCTACAAATGACACCATTCAGCTATTCTGGTGTTTTATTTCCCTTAAAGCATTTCCACGTACATTATCTCACCTTGTGTCACGACAGCCTGGTGAGCGAGGTTTGGTAAGGCATTAGTATCCCCACGGTACAGAGAAGGAAACGGGAACAGGGGAAGGTGAAGGAGTTGGTATGTGCAGAACAGAGACTTGAACACGTTACACTTACTTAAGATAGAATTGAAATGGGGCATTTTGGAGACCTGTAGAGACGATGATGGGGGAGGAGTGGGGGACCTTCCTCTTTGCATGCACTTTGCTTTGTCATCGTGTGAAGAATGTTCGTCTCCTACTGTCGCTCCAAATAGCTGGTTGCCATTTTCATTATTTGCTACCTACGCTTTGCTGGAAAAAAACCAAGAGACATTTAGAAGTATTAGAGGTAATGACTCTTTAGATGGAAACAACTGGGTATCTGGAAAATACGGTGGGATGCTGACCGCCATCACCACCCTTTCTTATATCCTGAGAGCCTTGGGGTTGTTCATTGCCGAGCTAAAGGTCACCCTTCCACCCGTGGAAGAATGGAAAAATTAAAGCATGTTACAGTGGCTTTCCAAGGCTCACTCAGAAATGGGACTCCCAACACTAGGTAGTAAATTTTAGTGGTTTCCTTCCCCTTTATGCCAGCATTTTCCTAAGTTGTCAGGATTTTGGGGGAAAACAAACGAGGTTGTGATATAAGAGAAAAACACAATATCAATCCTATGAGGAAGAAAGACCCTAAGTACACTTTATTTTTTTTTCAGAAGTACTTAGATCATTGGTTCTCTTTAGGAAGAAAAACTCCAGGGACCAACAACCCTATGTACATCTTTAACCCTCCCCCCCCCCAAAAAAAACAAAACAAAATAAAAAAAAACACTCCTCCAACCTAATTGAAGGACTATGCCGCATGGTTACCATGGTATCAAACTTAGCCCTGCCAGTTCAGGTGATCTTATGTTAAGTGCTAGTCCTACAAGAGCCCAAACCCATCTTTAGAACCCTCCCGAAATGTGTTATAAGAATCAGACCTGTGTTTCTGATCGTGGATTTCCAAGCTACCCACACCAAGCCACTCAAGAGAGAGCAGCTGCAACTCCCACACATTTCTGGGACACTGGTCAGAGAGCAGCGGAGCCCTGCACCCCGGGCAGTCCTGAGCACTGTGCCTCACACATAGCAGAAACCCTCGATGACTTCTGCGAAAGTGCTTAAATACTAACACGCAAACACCTCTTTCAGAAATGGATGATGCAATGCGTAGCTTTGCTGAAAAAGTGTTTGCCTCTGAAGTCAAAGATGAGGGGGGCCGTCAAGAGCTTTCCCCCTTTGATGTGGATGACATCTGTCCAATTTCCCATCTCGAGATGCAAGCACACATATTCCACATGGAGTCTCTGTCCACCTCCACAGCAGGCAAGAGGTAAGTGGTGTAAGGCAGGTACTTAGTACATGGGGACACACAGAAGGGGAAATGTCAGGGCAGGTGGTTCCGTGTGTCTGAATGATGGTTCAACTCAAAGGAAGAATTCTGCCAGAAATTTAAAATTTCTCCTCCAACCCCCTTTACATACACTAGGGCAAGGTAACAATCACTAAAACGGGAGAAAACAGTGGCCCTCCTACCCTCAGTCACAACTCCCTTTAGTTGAAGACGCCATATCCACCTGGGCAAGAGGACATGAGCTACTATGCGCTTGTTCCAAACCAAAGTGGGCTGATGGCCGTTGTGCACACACTCAACGTACGCCTGATGGGTTCAGGAACTGGAACTCGGGAGCCTCATCTTGAGACTCCGACCTTAGCCAGCCTTAGTGTTCTGCTACCTGATATGAGTCCTGCCCTCCAGCCAGTCGGACCTCCTCCAGGCCCAGGAGCACAGCCTTCCATTTCTGCCTCCCTGCCCTGCCCACCCTATGCATATAATGCAGAATTACTGCCTCCCAACAACTTCCATAGATCCCTCTCCACAAACCTGTTTATTTTCCCTTATTTGAGCTACTCCACTACTCAGTATCTGCCATGATTTAGTCCTCAGACCTATATCAACCACTTACCTGGAACCTCCTCTTCTTAGCACTCCCCCAACCTTACACACACACACACACACACACACACACACACACACACACACACACACCCCAGCTTCACGGGGGAGAGATCATTCTGCTGCCTTCCTCTTGGCTCTATGTCTGTAAAGAGAACAACAATCCACCTTCTTTGGCATCCCCCATAGGACCCAACATCGGGTTTGGATCAATAAGTACTTGCTGATTTGAAGAAGTAATATTGATTATGCAACTTGTAAGTTCCAGGTATTGTGCTAGGCATTTTATGAACATGAAATCGTACAGAAATTCTATAAGGTAGGCATCAGTACACAGTTTTTTGCAGATGGGGAGACAGAAGCTCACAGAATTGAAAGAATATGCACAGGTAGTAACTGATGCAGCCTGTGTTTATTGCAGTCCCCAGACTGCCTGTTCTGCTAGGGGTGGGCACCTGGGAACAACGTCATGCTGAAAGCCTTCTAGTATGTTCCCTCAAGCCCACTGCTCCAGGAGGAAGGGAACAGTCATGTGATATCTCCTCCCATATGGTCGGATCCTGTTTCTGACACCCAACCCACATTTTAGTTTTCACTTTTTGTTCTCAAAATGAAGTTGCATAGTGAACATCAATTTATCACAATGAAACTTCCAATGAAGACAAAGATAAATCCTTTTTTTTTTTTTAACCCAGAAAAAAGCGTTTCTTCGGACGGAAGACTATTAATCTGTCTATTCCACAAAGTGAAACATCGTCCACCAAAATGTCCCAAATTGACGAATACATCTCTTCATCTCCAACCTACCAGGAGGTGCCCGACTTCCAGAGAGTGCAGATCACCGGCGATTATGCCTCGGGGGTGAGTTGCTCCTGGTCCCTAACTGTTGGGAAGACACTCAGCTTGATTGTTTCAGCTTCTTACCTTCATCCCCTTCCTTTTGAGAAAGGTCTTAGCTCCCCTGCCCTGTGTTATACATGACTGCATTTCAAAAACAATATGCCAGGACTTATATTTCTGTCTTGCTTTCATATTTTTGTTAAGCTCCCCACCCCCCCTGTAATTTCTCTTGTATCTCCTTTCTTGCACCTTGGGAATACGCAGTAGAATATAGTGTGTGTGTTACACAATATAGTGGACAGATTTGAGCAAAAGAACCAAAGGAACCAGTTGGTGGACTGTTCTCACTGAGGGCATCACCAAGCAGGAAAGGAGCCACCAGGAGGCACAGGGGGCTCCTGGGAAAAGATGGACCCAGGACAGACGTAGAATAGAGAGAAGGGCTACAGGCAGCATGAATCAATCCAAGAAAAAGAAGGAAAAAGAGAGAAGAGGGGAGAGACCAGAAGAAAGCAGGATGATGAGAGACAGGTGAGAAAATTCCAAAGGGGCTGTTACCCTTTGACCAGCTGTCCTCTCCAGTTTCGTGGCGGATGCTTACATAATAGAGGGTGGCTTGGAACAGGCTCTAGGATGCCACAGGGACAGTAAGTTCGGGGCATAAACAACTTGACCTGCCTGCTCTACCCAGAACAGTTGGTCAGTTAATAAATCTCTGCCACATGGACGTGCAGAATCAGCATCGTATCGATGAAACTGTGTTTAGTCATCAGTCTATGCTCCAAATATAGTTTTCCTGACCAGTCCTCAGCCCCTTTCTCTGCAACTGACCCACTTAGGGTTAGTCCTGAGGTATTGGAAAGTCACAGAGCAGTGCAATGACCACTATTGTTATTTATTCATTTTCTGTACCCAGATCAGTCTTCACCCTGTTAACTGAACAGAGAGGTAAAGGGAAACCAGGGCTAAGTTCTCAAGGTCACTGATCCCTGGTAACAACTGATTCAGTTCAATCGGTCCTTACTGAGCACCGACTCTGTGGTAGGTATGGTGTGCTACGTGCTGACGACACGAAGGTGAATAAGATCTAGATCTTACCCATGAGGAGCTGATAAACTGGTGACCCATTAGGTGGCGAGACAAGCACGCCATGAAAGCAGACCCTCAGACCTAGCACCTACGCCAGACTCACCAAGGTCAGCAGGTCTTTAAAAAGAGTTCAATTGCCCTAGCTGGTTTGGCTCAGTGGATAGAGCATTGGCCTGCAGACTAAAAAGAGTTCAACTGATTAGAATCAATATCTGGGAACCACTGGGAGCAAGCCTGCATAGGCCGGTCTAGGAAATTTCCAACAATTCCAAGACCATTTCACTCCAGAATCTCTCCACTTTTAGCCGCAGATAAAGTTCTCTTTAAAATCATCCAAAAGAATGAGCTCTCACAGGATGATGTTCTGACCCATTTAAAGCTACAGAAGGCATGCTAGGATTTGAGGGATGCATGACACTCTACTCATCCCAAAATATTGCCCTCACTGACCAGCAAGTGGTTGGAATTCTCCCATGAGAGTCACATTGCCTTTCAGTTGAGATATTTTCTCTATATGCCCAAATTTAAAATGTTTATATGTTAAAGGGAGGAAGGAAGGAAGGAAGGGCAAGAAGGAGGATTTTTCATTATTCATTTTCTGTACCCAGATCAGTCTTCACCCTGTTAACTGAACAGAGAGGTAAAGGGAAACCAGGGCTAAGTTCTTAAGGTCACTGATCCCTGGTAACAACTGATTCAGTTCAATTGGTCCTTTTCATCATAGAATGGGTTCTTTTCATCATATTTTCTAGATAATCACTGCTATCTAACAAATAACAAAAACAAACACAGGACAGTAAGGAAAGACTCGTCTGACAGGTAAGTTTTGGTAGAAATGGAAGAGAGAGGAAAACTTCAGGACCTGCCCCTGGAGGGAGACCCAGGGCCCAAGTCAGCTAGGAGGCAACCACGTGGGCAGGTGGGCCTCAGCAATACTCAGGTCAGTTGGGAGGTGCCAACGACAAGGTTTCCCCATGTCTTGGATTTCCACAGGAATGATTCTGATGCCCTGAAATGTTTTTGGCAGGTTACAGTTGAAGATTTTGAAATAGTATGTAAGGGTCTGTATCGGGCACTTTGTATACGGGAGAAATACATGCAGAAGTCCTTTCAGAGGTTCCCTAAAACCCCCTCCAAGTACTTGCGGAACATTGATGGGGAGCCTTGGGTAGCAAATGAGAACTTCTATCCAGGTAAGTAATTCTCTTCTTCAGTGTATGGAATATATCTTTAGGTTCAACTGCTAACTACTAAATATGCCTCTAGATTAAAAATAATCCAGTCTGAAAATATCAGAGTCATGCCCTGGCTGGTGTGGCTCAGTGATTGGAGCATCAGCCCACACACCAAAGGGTCCTGGGTTCAATTCCTGGTCAAGGACACATACCTGGGTTGCAGGTTCCATCCCAGCCCACTGGGCCCCTTGTTTTCAAGGCGAAATGCTTTGATTGCCCAGGGACAGTGTGGAGTTCGTTCTTGGCTTTCTTAGGTTGAAACTGTAGCAGTGGAAAGAAGGGGTCATTCATCCATATAATCCCTTCTTAACTCCTTGAGCAGAAAGTGTATGTGCTCTAAAATGTGGGAAATATAATTACGATTAGAATTGTCATTCTTTTTTTTTTTTTTTAAATATTTTATTGATTTTTTTACAGAGAGGAAGGGAGAGGGATAGAGAGTTAGAAACATCGATGAGAGAGAAACATCGATCAGCTGCCTCCTGCACATCTCCCACTGGGGATGTGCCTGCAACCCAGGTACATGCCCTTGACCGGAATTGAACCTGGGACCTTTTAGTCCGTAGGCCGACGCTCTATCCACTGAGCCAAACCGGTTTCGGCTAGAATTGTCATTCTTACAACAAAAAATTATTTTATATTTCCATGTATATTAAAACTACTCGAGATGGAGCACAAAGGATTCTTAGGGCAGTAAGACTATTCTGTGATACTGTAAGGTTGGATACATGTCATTATATATCTGTTAAAACCCATAGGGTGTACAACACCAAGAGTGAACCCTGATGTAAATTATAGACTCTGGGTGATAACAAGGTGTAGGCTCATTGACTGTAACACATGTACCTCTCTGGTGGGGGACTGATAGTGAGGCTCTGTGTGTGTATGAGGGGGGCGGCTAGGGGTAATGGGAACTCTGTACTGGTTGCTCAGTTTTGCTGTGAACCTAAAACTGCTGTGATAATTAAGCCTATTAAAAAACATCATCTCTACATTAAGACTGATAGAGAAGGTTGGTTTAAATACGGAAAAGGTCCAAACTCTACTTTCTAACTGTCATTTTATTTTTATTTCTATGCAATTATTTCATAAGCTAAGAAAACACTCTAAACAGGAAGCCTCTGATAACCAACTTTAGTAAATAATTAAAATTATTTGTAAATAACATATCAATTATGTAAACAGTACTTCTAAAGAACTTGAAAATTATTCTTATACCAGATAAAAACTACGATAGTTACTTTATACTACTAATTTAGTCACCTTTGAGCAACAACGTAAAAATAAACTTTATCAGCTCTGGATAACGACAATCTACAATGTACAGCATTCCAAACGAATGAGATTTTACGGTATTTCATATTTTGGTTGTTTTTATGTGGTCATTCATCCTGTGTGCTGATACATTTCTCTGTTTCATTGAAAAAGTCTTCACCCCTCCTGTGAAGAAGGGAGAAGACCCTTTCCGAACAGACGACCTCCCGGAAAACCTGGGTTATCACCTCACAATGAAGGACGGTGTGGTCTATGTCTACCCCAGCGAAGCAGCAGCCAGCAAGGATGAGCCTAAGCCGCTTCCCTACCCCAATCTGGACTCCTTCGTAGATGATATGAATTTTTTACTTGCTTTGATTGCCCAAGGACCCGTGTAAGCGTTTAGTGAGATCTAACCTACTACTTCAACTATTGATAGGAAACATAAGTGTTTATTAAGTGCTTATGATGTTTAAAAAGCTGTGTTAAGCCCTCCATGTACATGATTTCTTATACTCCTCAAAATTGTTCTATGAAGTATTTATTTATAATTTCACTTCTACAGGCTGAGATTCTGATGCGTTAAGTAATTTTCCCAAAGTCACACAACTGACTGGAAAGGATTCGAGCCCAAAGATGCCAACTCCAAAGCCAGGGCCTTCACCTTGAGCCACACGGTCTCCCCTGCCTTGAAATGCCTTCCTAAGTCCTCCCTCATTATTATGTACAATTTTGATGAAAAGATTAAGCCCTTGGGACCCAGAGTAAACTGAAATGTTTGTTCTAATAATAGTTTCCTGTAGTTGTTGAGGGTCCTGATGGTTTTGAAATTGTGACTTCCTTAAATGTCTGGAATTTTTTAGAATCATGTGACTTCATTTTTCACAGAAAGACCTACACCCACCGGCGCCTGAAGTTCCTCTCCTCCAAGTTCCAGGTCCATGAGATGCTCAACGAGATGGATGAGTTAAAGGAGCTGAAGAACAACCCCCACCGGGATTTCTACAACTGCAGGAAGGTAAACGTTTCGCCGCTCAGTGGTCATCCCTGGGCAAAAACATTAACCCAATTAGTATTTTCTGAGCAGGACAAGAAAGATACTGTCTTTCTGATTAATGTGAGATTTCTGTAGATTAAGTGAAATTTACTAAAAGCAGACAGATTATGTCCAAAAGGTTAAAAGCCATTTGTATGGGTTCCACATAGAAAGGTTTACCACATTCTTGTCATAAAAAGTTATAATCCTCAACCACAGAAATAACAAAAGCAAATAAAACCTCAAAACCCACTATTCAGGATCTGAAAGATCTTCATCCTAGTCCTTTTTTTTCTACTTCCTGACTGTAAGACATTGGAGACGGGATTAAATATTTCGGAGTTTCATATTCCTCATTGAGAAGCATATCTGCTCAGTCTAGCTCACAAAAGGATTATGGACACTCAATGAACTAATGATTGTGGAAAACGCATCAACTGGGAACACTTCCAAGATGTGTTCTGACCATTTAAGTGGTTGCAAGGAAGTGGGAATAGGAAATATATGGGCAGAGATATGGGACCAAATTCTGTATAACCTATCAATACTTCAGCTTATAAAATTGTAATTATAAAAACAGCTCATATGTGCTGTCATAATTTCAATCCTTTCTCTTTTGGGGGCTGAAAACTATGGTATCTACTTCACTTCCGGATGTGTCTCAGGGGTAGAGAATGGTCCCTAAGAATTTTGTGTGGATCAGATGTAAAGGGGAAGTAAATTGGATGTAAAGTTTTACAACAGAAGCAGGCATTGTTATTTCATCCAGCCTAACCTTCACATCCTTGCAAGGACATAGAAAGGTGCCAGGGGTGTTTTGTTTGGTTGGGTTTTTTGTTTGTTTGGTTGGTTAGTTGGTTTTTCTGCTGGCCCTTTTCCAACAGCTGTCAAGTCACAGCCTTGTTACTTATTCCTTCCTCCCACCACAGTGCGATTTGCAGGCACCATAGCCTTTAACAGAGCAGTACAACGAAAGCTGACTGCTGGTTTTCTTTCTCTGAATGTACACTCAGGTGGACACCCATATCCATGCAGCTGCTTGCATGAACCAGAAACACCTTCTGCGCTTTATCAAGAAATCTTACCACGCTGACGCTGACAGAGTGGTCTATAGCACCAAGGAGAAAAAGCTGACCCTAAAGGAGCTTTTCGCTAAATTAAAAATGCATCCCTACGACCTGACTGTTGACTCTCTGGATGTTCATGCTGTAGGTTGAAAAGATAACGCCAGTTTCACTCGAACACTGAGGAACCCCACATGCCTTTTTCCTACAGACGCTCCCTTCTCAGAGCCATGCTGGCTTACCATGCTGACCGCAAGCACCACAGACAATGTTAAGGTTTACTCATTCATCAACTGTCCCAGATTCCATTCTTGGAGCCCAGCCCCTTCCCTTGCCACCAGGCCCCTCTGTGTCCAGGCAGCTCTGGTAACGACACCCGTGTGTTCCTGTTTCCTGATTCAGGGACGCCAGACTTTCCAGCGTTTTGATAAATTCAATGACAAATACAATCCTGTAGGAGCAAGTGAGCTGCGGGATCTCTACCTTAAGACTGACAATTACATTGATGGGGAATATTTCGCCACTATCATCAAGGTGAGGAGGAACCTCCAGATCTATGGTGCCTGGCCTAGCTCTTGAGGAGGGGGAGAGAGAGAGGGAGGAAAGAAAGGAGAGAGGAGAGAGGAAGGAAAGAAGGAAGGGAGGGAGGAAGGGAGGGAAGGGGGGAGGGAGGGGAAAAGCAGGCTATCCTTGGAATCAAGCACTACATAAATGAATATAAGAATTTCTTCTGAAATGTCCACTGTGATGATTTTAAGAGACCTCTATTCCTAGGATTAGATTTGGGATTAAGGACCTGTCTCTTGGGCTTTGGGAGCTGTAAATTCAGGAAGAGTTGGGATTGGAACCCGCCCTCATTTTCATGCCTGAGCATTAGGGAGCGGGAATGACATGTGGAGTTGGGAGATGTGTGTTTTGGAAGGTAGGGGGCCTATGAAAAGCTGGATTTCTTTTGCAGGTGCCTGGGATATCTCATCATGCCTAGTCTGACTTTTTCACTCTCTAGACTCCATAATGTCCTATTCGTCTTTTCCTCCCCGTGGGATTCCCCTCAACTCTGTTCCCTTAGAGCTTAACCTTGACCGTTTCCCACTGACTTCTCATGTTTCCTCCATTCTTCTTCGTACCCATCTCCTGTTCCTGGACCCCACAGGCTCAGCCCCCTGATTGACTTGTAGGAATTCCTGGCTTTGGGACTCCTCTCTTGGCTTTGCAGGAGGTAGGTGCAGACCTGGTGGAGGCCAAGTACCAGCACGCCGAGCCCCGCCTGTCAATCTACGGCCGAAGTCCTGAGGAGTGGAGCAAACTCTCCACCTGGTTCGTCCGCAACCGCATCCACTGCCCCAACATGACATGGATGATCCAGGTCCCCAGGATCTAGTACGTACCTGCCTCACCTCCTCTACACGAACAAGAAGCGTGCAGCAGGTCAAGACAGGAATACGCTCTCCGTCCTGGGTCCTGCGTCCTGGGTGCCTGACTTGGTTCCCTCTGGGTGCAGCACGCCTGGCCAGAGACAGAAGTTAGGAAGATCCTATCAGTTCAAGTTTTTAACCAGAAGGCTTTTTGGTTTTGTTTTTTTAAAAAACACAGGACTTCACGTAGATCACAAAGTAACTTATTGAGAATGAGTACAACTTAGCTAAGAACTATAGGCATTTTACTATACACTTTCTTTCTCCTGCTCTTCCTCTCTGTGTCCAGTTCACTCTTTCCCATTCTCATCTCTACTGGGATATAGCTTCCTTGTATCAGAAACCACGTCTAAATGTCTGCTGATCGTCTCATCAGCAAGTGCTCAAGTTCTCCATAATCAATGAGTCTTTATCAATGGTATTACCATCTGTTAATTACTCCTCGCCCTCAGAGATGTTTGGTGTCATTGAGTATTTATCTAACATAAGTGTTGATATATTTTCTGGCCACCTACTTCATGTTCTGTGTGCCCTGTGGCAATACAAGAATTTTATCCTATCTCTTTAGCCAAAAAAGTAACTTTTGGGCTGGAATTAGTACTTTCTGTGTAATATCATTATGGCAGAGAGGCAGTAGGTGTGGTGGCTAGAAGCATGGACCCAGACTGGCTGTGTTTGAATCCTAACCCTACCACATACTTAGCTGTGTGCCTTGGTTTTAAAATGGGGTAATACCAGTACTTAACTTATTGAGTTGTTATGAGGATTAAGTTAGCTAATATTTCTGGTCCGTTACTAGAGTGGCTGGCATATGCTGAGTGCTATCATAAGAATTTGTTAGACTGCCCCTGGCTGCAATACATCAGGATTGTTCTTGATAACTGTCCCATGTGCACCATCTTGTACACCACACACATAAATAATTGAACCTTTTATGTTATAGTCCCTATACTCCTCATTCTCTACCTAGATTTAGCTGTCAAGGTTCGCTTTTCTCACCACATGAGGATTTGTAGAAGAGATGGGGCCATCAGGCAAGAAATTGATACTTTCTATGCCCAACCACAACTGAATCCCTCTTTTTGGGTAACCAAGAAGAGTGTACTAGGATGGACATACTAGGTCTTTTCCTGAACATGGCATTTGATCCTCTGGTTCCCTCGAATTGGGGCTATCAGTCCTAAAAATCTTTCCATCCTCCTAAATTCTCTTCATTCTTGCCTCTAGCGATGTATTTCGAGCTAAGAATTTCCTTCCGCACTTTGGGAAGATGCTGGAGAATATTTTCATGCCAATATTTGAGGCCACCATCAACCCCCAGGCTCACCCTGACCTCAGTGTCTTCCTCAAGCATGTAAGCATGACCTGTCGGCTTTCATCTTGCTGCGCACAAACAAGCCCACCTACCCGGCCGGGACTAATCCCTGGTGCTTATCTCTGATGTTTGGTCCTTGCCTTTGGGAGCTGAAAGTTTGTCTGAGGGCTGGGACCCTGAAGTCAGACTGAACCCATGGCCTGGTTTGCTTTTCCTGGCAGATTACTGGCTTTGACAGTGTGGATGATGAGTCCAAACACAGTGGCCACATGTTTTCCTCCAAGAGCCCCAAGCCCCAGGAGTGGACAATGGGAAGTAATCCATCTTACACTTACTATGCCTACTACATGTATGCGAACATCATGGTGCTCAACAGCCTGAGGAAGTAAGTAGACGAGAATTGGAGCGAGGAGAATCTATCTGGCACACTTCTCTCCTGGTGCATGGGCACCTGTGGCGGTCAAGGGCCTGGAATGCACCGGTGGGATGCTTCCAGCTGGCTCAAATCAGACATGTCTTCCCCTTGACTTTTTCTCCAGTTTCTTATATTTATTTAGGGGCAGGAATGGACATTTTGGAGCCTCCAGTAACATTCACAGTTCATTTTCTTTGGATGTTTACAGTAATTTACAGTAGTAACTATGCAATTTATTATAAAACCCCATACATTTCCCCCCTCTTGATAGATCTAAGTAAGAATAAATAGAGGAATATTATTCTGGGGCTTTCTGGAAACAGTTTCCCCCTGAAGTGTGAGTAGGAGAAATGATGATATGGGGACGCTGCTAAATTTCCTGTGGAAACTAAACATGTTTCTGTTCAGGTAATCAAATCCTGACTTTCCTTTGTACCCTCATGTCCTCTGATGCCTATTTTTCAAAAGTCTGTGTTTAGGAAGACTTAAGATGGTGACTCGGAATTGCTGGTTTTGCCACGTCCTTTGAATACCCTTCCAGAGAGTTCATTTTTCTATCAAATTTTCTCGTAAATTGCTCTATGCCCAGAGTTGTTGCCAGGTCTTAGTCAGTCACTTGTGACTCCTATAGCAGTTCCATTTCCCTAGGGAACGAGGCATGAATACGTTTCTGTTCCGACCTCACTGTGGGGAAGCTGGAGCGCTCACCCATCTCCTGACAGCATTCATGACAGCAGACAACATTTCTCATGGCCTGAATTTAAAAAAGGTGAGACGGAGCTCTCTTAATAATAGTATGTTTTTTAAGCAATCAAAATTGAAAGACTCACAGACACAGAGAACAGATTGGTGATTGCCAGAGGGGAGACGGGTTGGGTGAATGGGTGAAAAGGTGAAGGGATTAAGACTATTCTGTGACTACCTATGTGTAAAGTACAACACAGGGAATATAGTCAATAATATTGTAATAACGATGCATGATGCCAGGTAGGTACGGGAAATATTGGGAAGAATACTTTGTAAGGTATATGAATGTCAAATCACTATGCTGTATACCTGAAGGTAATCCAAAATAAGATTGAATGTAAACTGTTATTGAAAAATAAAATTACAAAGAATAATGACTTTTTATTGGAGCTAGTCACAAGTCATTATCAAGACTGACATCAGGTTAAAGTAGAACAAAACTGGTTGTGAGATTATGTAGTGCTGTTCATTTTCACAGAGGCCCAGAGAAGTGAAGGAACGTGCCCAAGATTACCCCGCTATTGACGGCCGAGATGGGTTAGCAGGTGGCCTGGCTTCCATTTTAGAACTCTGACAAAGGATAATTCAGAGGCAGCTTGACTCACCTTACGCTAGTGTTTGCCAGATTCCTTGTTATAGCACGTCTTAAAATGCCTCTCGTGAGAGTCAGAACTTCCTTGTAGAGAAATGTTTCTAGGTGAGGTCTTTTGCCAGAGACAGCCATCCAGCTCAACGCTTCTGAGAGCTGATGATCCCACATCATTTTATTCTAAATAGTATTCATATTTAAAAAGGATTCCTCTTCTTCAGAAGGGGATTTAAAGGACAGGTGATAATTACTTGAAAGCTAAAACTTGAGGTAGACCATGGGGTTTTAACATTTCTCATTTGTATCCCTTTGTCAACATCCTTAAATAATTTTCTTTTCCTTTTCCTTTCCAGACTCCTGTATTACAGTATCTGTTTTTCTTAGCTCAGATTCCCATCGCTATGTCGCCATTAAGTAACAACAGCTTATTTCTAGAATATGCCAAAAATCCTTTCTTAGATTTCCTCCAGAAAGGGCTAATGATCTCACTGTCTACAGACGACCCCATGCAATTCCACTTCACCAAGGTACTCATATGGAATCTTGAGCCATACAAGCATATTTTGTTGGGCTGTTGTTTCCCGCCCATAGTTTTAAAAGCTAAATTGATTTCTTTCACCATTCTTTTTGTGCAAGGTGCCATTCTTTTAATGCATTCCTTTCCTTTCTTTCCTGCTTTCTTTTTGCCTCATTTAAATACATAACCGAAGGAGCCCCTAATGGAAGAGTACGCCATTGCCGCACAAGTCTTCAAGCTGAGTACCTGTGACATGTGTGAGGTGGCAAGGAACAGCGTTCTGCAATGTGGAATTTCTCACGAGGTAGGCCTGTCTTTGCCTGATTGCCCTTCGGATTTTAGATCTGGTCACCTGAATATTGAAAACTGAGTTGGAAATACAACAGGGGAAAAAATTATCCCCCAAATCACATGCAGTTGCTATGGACAGGGACTAGAGAGAATTATTCTATTTCTCTGGCCATGCGTTTTGGGCAAGGGGAACAAAATGCACTTGTGTCTCAGCTGACCATGCACACTGAGGCACTGGGTAAGTGCTTTTAATCGTTTTCTTCTTCTTTTTTTCTTTTCCTTTTGCCAATGGCTAACATAAGGAAGGAATCCTTGTGGAGGGTGTAATGATTGTCTGTATCAGGGTACAAAGAGATAACAACCATTCTGCTTACTTCTCTCTTATAGGAGAAAGCGAAGTTCCTGGGCAACAATTACCTAGAGGAAGGCCCTATGGGAAATGATATCCGGAGGACAAATGTCGCCCAGATCCGCATGGCCTATCGCTACGAAACCTGGTGTTATGAACTTAACCTAATTGCCGAAGGCCTTAAGTCAGGAGACTAAAATAAATAAACCAAATAATATACGGGTGAGATTTTCATGTGAATAATAATAGTTACCAGTTCTTGAATCCTTACTAGAAGCCAAGGACTGTATTAGATATTATTCCACTGACATCATTTAATTTAACTCGTTTCACAACTTTATAAAGGTGTTACTATCTCTATAGCGGGGAAGATGAATAAACTGAAGTTAGTGAAGTTAATAACCTGCACAAGGATACACCTAAGTGAGCAGTAGCTGTGGGGACCTAGGTTTGTCTGATCCCAGAATTTCTATGACTGCAGGCAAAACAGTTATTAAGGCGGGGGGGGGGTGGATACAAGCAATGACTTGTTATTGGGAGAACTTTTGGTTTATAGAATAAAACTTGCTTAGGCACTTGGATTATTGAAAAGTCCTTCTGACCAGATATAAGTGAAGAGTGGCTTTCTCAGACAAAAGTAGAACAGGTGTAAATATAGAAAATCTATACTTATGAGTTACTCTATCTTAGTGAGAATTTATCTTACAAAAGGATTCTTAGCTTTAAGGATTTCACTGACAATAAAGTTATAGTCACTTATAGTGATACATTTTAAATGATTTCACTTACCAAAACAAGATATAACTTTCTAGAAATTGCCTATTACTCAGGCTGAAATCATATTCCAATTAGCCAGACTATACTTATGCACATACAACTATGTTGCCATCTAGTGGTTGGGCTGATACTTCATTCATTTTACTTAGTAAACAATTACTGATCGAATATCAAAAGCATCAGGTACTATTCTAGACAGCAAAGGTATAAAGAATAAGCTTTCATCCCTACTCTCAAGTAGTTCACAATGTGAAGTTATAGGATCAGTGGATACAAACGTGAAAAAGAGAATTTGGTGAAACGTCTCAGAAAGAAATGAATGACGTTCATTTCAAATGGAAAAAAAAATTAAAAATAGCAAATTCCTGTCTGTCTCCACATTCTATACAGGTTGCCGTAAGCAGAGGCGTGATCCCAACAGCATGTTTGTACTAGCCCTAGTGTTAAGTCTCCTCCCTGTTTTCTGAAGTTGAAGTTCTGTTAGCTGAGTATGTGTAGGTCCCTTAGAGAACATGATTTTCTTTTACTTTATCAAAATCATACAAACCGCTAAATTTAACATCCTATTCTCAAACTTAAAAAGACACTACCACTAGGTATATCTTCATCTTACCCATGAGAGGGCAGTAGAATACATACATGGTAATGCATTTATTAAACCCATAGAAACCCACTCAGGTTTGGTTTCATACTTGGTATGTGTAATCAATCTGCCTCATTTTGCCAAATAATCTTCTGGAGTGCAAACTCTGAATTCTGAAATAAATCTGACTTTTGAAATAAAATTCAAATCCACACTCTTCTAGCCCAACATTTCATCTTAAAACGACTTTGGGGAAGTTTTCTAAATATGTAAGAACTTGGGAGAGTAGGGGGGAGGGGGAATTGCCCATAAAGATCACTGTTCAACATTTACTACCAACAATACATTTATTTCCTCATTGAGTCAGATTTTTAAAAATGTCTTGTCATGACTTTTTTTGCCCCATCATAGAAGGTAACTCCTGTATCACTGTCCACAACTCATGGTTTCCCGACGGTCTGGGACGTTCAGCTTTTACTGCTGTGGCTAAACTGGCTTGTGACAGTCATGGGCGAGGTGTAACCAAACACCTCTCTTTCTGGCAGGCTTCTATTTTGGTGCCTCTATGTGAACAGATGTGGGAAGAGCTTGGGCACCGGCCCCAAGAGGCTCTGGCGGAGTGGGCGGGCTGGGGAGGGGCGCGGCGGGTGGGGTGGGGTGGTTAGCGAGCGCCTGGGAAACAGGCTCCACGCCTCCTCGTCTCGCAGCTTCAGTGAAACTGGGTGCTGCCCGCGGGAGGCGCAGCGCCCTGCACATACCTGAGCAGGAGCGTGTTGCAGGCGCAGTGCTCCTGCTTGTGTCACAACAGGGCGTGGGGCCGACCTCGGGCTCTGGGCGTATCAAAGGCTTCCCTGCTCTGGGATTTCAAGCCTCCGGTGTTGGGAGCGTTACTTGCAACTACGTTTCAAATTCGCACCACACAGCCATCGCCCGGGACATTTGCTCCTTGAGCTCCGCCAGGGAAACGGTGACCCCGGGCCTACTGCGCCCGGCGGCAGGAGACACGCCCATGGTTTCCTTGAGCGAGGTGCCGTTTGCATCACCTGCGGCCGCGAAGTCGGGTCAAGTTCAGGTCCGTCGCGGAGGAGCCGGTCCGCAGGCACCGCGAGGGCCCTGCAACTTTGCTAGAGGCCCCGGCTGCACGACAGTGGCGACGGTCGCCAGCTGCGCAGTGTCCCGGCACCGAGGTCCCGGGCAAGGTGCTGGCCCCTACGCGGACCCGAGCGGGGGCGGTTCCCCTATCGACGGAGCTTGGCAACGCCGGGGGCGGGCCGAGCGTGAGGGAAGGAAACAGCAGCCAATCAGAAACCTGTTTGGCCGGGCAGGGGCGGGGCCTTCGGCCGGGCCTGCGGGGGCGGGACGGAGCCGACCCGAGTGGGACAGACGGGACTTAGCGCCTCCGCTGAGGAGAGGACGGGAGCCTCGCAGCCCGGCCGCGGGGGCGGCGTCGGGGCCCAGGACAGGTAGGAGCGGGGGCTTCGAATCGGGGCCGCGGGGGTGTCGGCCCCGACCCGGCTGTCTCGGCACCTCCCGGGCCTCGAGGGGCGCGCGGGTGTCCGGCCCCGAGGATGCGGGTTTGGGGCGCCCCGCCTGTCGCCCGCGGTAGTTGTGGCGGAACCGGGCTCAGGATCACCCCGCCGCTCAACTCGGGGGCGCGGGGACCGTCGAGGCGGCGGCGGTCGGGGGCCCTGCGGGGAGAGAGGGAGCGCCCCGCGTGCGCGAGGAAATGCGGGGCCTCGTCCAGGACGAGCCGGTTTCAACGGCGGCAGACGTCGGCCAGGGGCTTCAAAATGAAGTTTAGTGTTTTGATTCTTAGCAGACTCCGACACGCACAACCGCAAAAGTCGAGTCGATTTTGATTTTAAAACCTGACAATGGAACATGTACGAGCTTTTGAGTAACCAGAGTAGCCGCGGATGATGAGATGATGAGTCAAGGGCCGGAGTCTTGGCCAGGACCCACGGACCGCATGCGGCGTGGACCTCGGTCAGGGTGACTTTTCTGGGCCTCCTTTCCTTAGCTGTACGGATGCTCATGCCTGGGGGTGCTCCGAGGGCCGAAGGAGAGGAGAGGACTCTGCACATGTTAGGTATCCTTATCGGACCGTGTACCAGCCTCGGGCACATTGACTGACAGCCAGGCACATAGTAGGAGCTCTGTAAACCTTTACCGCAACGCTAGTGATGGACCTACAGTGTTTTAGACAACATCCCGGATCTCTGTTTACCGTGTAGATCAATGCTTCCAGCCCGGTTCCCACAACATCACCATGGTTTGAAGGGTGGTCCGTGTTTAACTGATGAATGAATTTTTCCAGAATAGCACGTGTTACCTGTCCACTGCTCCTCAATCATCTGCCGCGGAGCAGCCTATGGCTGTGGCTTAAGTTACCTGGGCAAAAGGAAGCTGGGAGTGTTGCTTCACATCAAGACTTTGATTTGCTTTTTTAAAGAGTTAAGTCCTCCCAAACAAAACGAATGTCTGGTTGTGTTTTGTTTTGTTTTTGTAAGGGTGTTATTATAGACATTTGCATCCTTCTCTATGGGTTTGAAGGACTTAAGAGGGAGACTGGAAATAAAACAGGGAAGAGCAGCTTGTAGCCAGCAGACTTGTACCGGGGATAATTCTGGGCGTGTTCTGAATTAGTTTCCCAGGCTGAAACCAGGAAATGCAGTAATTGTGTTTCTTGGCCTTTATTAAATTTTTTGTGTGTTGAACCTGGCATGGATTTTTTTAAATGCAGATATAAAGGAAGAATTTTTTTTTCTGATGTGACAGTAGGCAGTTATATAAACTTGGAAATTATATTTTAAATGATCTGTAAAGAATCATATTACAGATGAGGATTTTAGATCATTGAATACCAAGATCAAATTAAATGGAGAAATAAAAAGGAAAGGTCCTAATTAATAGAATTTTGTGTTGCTTTAAATGTTTACATGTTCCAAAGGTTCAGTGAAGATGAATGTTTTGAAACTACTTAAAAAAACCCGATTTTAAATACATTCTCCATATATATATAAACTCCATATATAAGTTTTGCTATGATATATAACTTGTTGATATTGGAAGCTGGAAGCCTTACATTTACATTATTTATTGAGCACCTATTATATTCCAAGGCACAGTTTGAGCACTTACATTGTACAGTATTCATGTATAGGCAGGATATAATTCTTTATTTTGGAGATTGATGGGCTAAAATCAATCTAACAGCTGGGCTAAAATAAGTACTGAGAAAGGTGTTTTTAAAACTGGTAACAACACCCACCAGCATTAATCCGGACCTACTCTGAGCCAGGCAGTGTTCTAAATTCTTCACGTGCATTAGCTAATTGAATCCTTACATAGCACCACGAGGGTGATTGTTATTATGAACTCCTTGCTCAAAGACAGAGAAGTTGAGTAACTTGCTCATATCAAGCAGCCTAGATAGCAGAGGTAGGATTCAAAGCGAACAGCGGGGCTCCCCCAAATCCTGATCTTACCCTCTGCAGTATACTGGGTTTCCAATTCTGTGAGTGACTTACAAATAAAATCCAGTGGGCATTTAAAAGAATTCTGTAAAGAAAGTCTTCAAAAAGAAGGAAAGAAAAAGATAGGGAGAGAATAGAAACTGGTATTGCAAGATGTAGATGGAAGACATGTCCAAGCTACAATTTAATTACACTTTGTATATAAGAGCATTTCCCGCCCCCCTGGTGAATGACGTGGGATTCTTTTTGTTTCTAGGTTCTCAGTCACTCAGTCACTACAATTATGGCATCATCTTAATAATGTGAGAGGTGATTATTTTTCAATAAGAAGTTTAAAATGTCTGTTCTTGGACCATGAGTTAAATGTTAGATTGAGGAAAAGAAAATGCTTCCCTAACTTTAAGAAGCTTATAACCAGACATGTAAATAAGTCCCTACAATTTCAGTGTGATAAGAGTTAAAACAGAGATAAACAGAGTTTACTGGGAACATTGATTAGGAAAATGTGGTGAAGAGCCTGTGCATCATGCTAAGGACTTTGGACTTGATTCTAAAAACAATGGAGAGCCAGTGAAGGACTGTAAGTAATTAGGAAAGATAACATGGTGGTGGTATGGTGTGGAGGCTGGGTAGGATGGAGAGAGATAAGTTAGAAGGCTATTGCTATTGAGATAGATAAGAGAAGATAAGGGCCTGGAGTAGGAAAATAGCAGAGATGAAGAGGAGAGGACAGGTAATGAAATGTAGAATTTACAGGGATTAAAAATTGATTGGCTTTGAAGGTGAACAGAAAGGTAAACAACTTGGCTTCTAAGCTTGGGAATCTGTGACTAGAGGAACATGTTTTATTATTTTTTTAATGTGAGAGGAAGGTAACCGCTTCAGTTTTGAACATGCTGAGTTTGAAGTGTATGCAACCTGCAGTTGGAGATGTCGAGAGGATCCATAGCCCAGAAGGGAGGCTGAGATTGATGATTCAGAGTTTAGTTGGACAGTAAAAGGTCATTGAAGCCCTACGAACAGACAAAATTGCTTGGGGAGTATATATGGAATTAGAAGAGAGGAATAGAAGGGGTTGTTTATTTATTTATGCTAATTTCATCTTACACATTGTGATTATAAAGCAATGAAATGGGTTTTAAGGGAAGATTAACCCCTTTTACATCCAAATGAATTCTGTTCTTTCACACACACACACCCCCACCTCCTCCTTTATTGATTACAGAGAGGAAGGGAGAGGGAGAGATAGAAACATCAATAATGAAAATCATTTATCAGCTGCCTTCTGCACACCCCCCACTGGGAATTGAACCCACAACCTGGGCATGTACTCTGACTGGAGAATCGAACCATGATCTCCTGGTTCATAGGTTGACACTCAACCATTGAGCTATACCAGATGGGCTGAATCCTGTTCTTTTAAAATTCCATTTAGGCTTTACTCATTTATTTCAAAAGTATATTGCCCAAAATATTATTGGAGTTTCTCTTTGTAAAAAAAAACACAAAAAAACTTTATAGCAAATTCACAGCCATTCAAGAAAGTAGATCTTCCCATTTTTTTAAAAAAATATATTTTATTGATTTTTTTACAGAGAGGAAAGGAGAGGGATAGAGAGTCAGAAACATCAGTGAGAGAGAAACATCAATCAGCTGCCTCCTGCACACTCCCCACTGCGTATGTGCCTGCAACCAAGGTACATGCCCTTGACCAGAATCAAACCTGGGACCCTTGAGTCCGCAGGCCGACACTCTATCCACTGAGCCAAACCGGTTAGGGCCCCATTTTGTTATAGAATTATTTTTTCCTCTACTGTAGTTTCTATTTTCATGCATATGTAGCCTATTTATCTTAAATCAAAGCTACAAAAGCATATGGTATATAGCTCCTGGAAGTGAGAAATAGTGCTCTTTTACAAAAGAAATCTTTGCGTCCCATAAATTTAGATTATCAATAAATGTCTGCTAGTTGATTCATCTTAATAACCAGTCTTATTCAATCTTGGCTCCAAATAGCTTAGGTGTTTCTAAAATTCATTCTCATCCTCAAAGAAGGAAGGTTTGCCATCATGAATGAGACTCAAAAGAATGTGTTATGTATGGCTTTGAAGGCTTTTTCAAAAAAGGAATTTCAAAAATATTTTCCCAATTTGTGGTCTCATTAGAATAAGTGTAATATCTGCTAAGGCAGGAATTGGCAAACTTTCTGTAAAGGGCAGATGGTAAGTATTTTAGACTTTATGGGCTATACAGTCTCTGTCGCAACTACCCAATTCTGCCAAAAGAGAGCCATAGACAATACTTAAGTGATTGAGCATGTGTTGGGTTCCAATTAAAGTTTATTTATGGACACCGAAATTTGGATTTCATATAATTTCCACATGTCATGAAATATTATACTTCTTTGATTGTTTTTCCAATTATTTAAAAACTAGAGGCCCAGTGCATGAAATTCATGCATGGGTAGGGTCTCTAGGGGCTGCCAGCTACCGGCAGGGCCTTCCTTCGTTCCATGCTACTCCCTGGTGGTCAGTGCACATCATAGCGATCGATAGAATTCCTGGTCGGTCCAATTCCCAAGGGGACGCTTTGCATATTAGGCTTTTATATATATAGATGTGAAAACCTCAGAGGGTGTGCAAAAACAGGTGGCCATATTTGGCCTAAAGGTGTAGGCCTCACTCTGCTGTCCCTATCCTAAGGGGTGTTCTTCGGAGTACTTGAATTTCTAAGTTTAGTTTTTCAGAAATGGTTA